AAGAAACTTTTGAGAACAACACAAAGCCAACTAACTTTCTTTTTACTTTGGTGGTTGACTGCCTGACATAGTATTGATGATGCCTAAATTTAGGGGTTGTGTGAGTGAGGGTGCTGCAGGTAGATAGATCTTCACTTCACCCATATCCACTCTCAAATTGTGTGGAAGAATAAAAAACAAACAATAGCTTTTTCAAAAATATTTTTCTTGACACTATTAGTAGAGCCCGTCGAACCCGGAACGAGTTGGTCAAACTTTTTCGCATCCGAACCCGATTAACAGAAAAATTTATGATCCGAATTCGATAGACTTTAATCATAAGTGATTATCTTTTGTTCATACATTGTCTGTAAGACAATTGGTAAAGTATGTTTATTAGAATAATGAACTTTATCTATCATTGACATTTTTTATTTATTTGTAATGAATAATACGTGCAAATATTATTCGACTAATATTTTATTCGCGAAAAAATGTATATTTGATCTTCTTATGTCTTTGAATTACATACTTATAAAATATCAAGTTGAACAAGTGCACTCATCTTGACTGCTATTTAATTTGCGGTGTCAAATAGATATATTCATCATATCTTTTATTTTCTAGCAGATTATATTTCTTATCTGCATATGACATTCTCAGGTATTTTCATGGCTTCTATTCATTCTTCATTAAATATCATTATGTAGATTTGTAGATTTTATTGCATATATGGCGTATGATATGATATTTTATTACACATTTGATCTTTTATGATTGTTATTAATGAAATTTTGAGAATACAGTACATTTTAGTAGAAATGATTTGAGACAATCAAATGATGATTTTTTTTTGCTAAGGTATGAGCGACTGAGGATATATCATTTCCAATCAAAATCAGAATTCATAAATTCAGACTTGAAAAGCAGTCAACTTTATCGATTTCTATGAGAAACATGTGTTTGAACAATAAAATAAACATCTTATTATCTATTCATAATTCACTTCAGGACTCGCAATAGGATGAAATGAAACGAACATATTGTTCTATGAGACAATGCATGTTGTAAGTAGATGTTTTTTTAAGCTTTGAACCAAATTCCATGACTTTCCTATTCAATCGACATAGTTTTTCTCCATCTATTTTCATTTAATTTCAATTTCATGTCTTTAAAAGACGTCATTCGATTGTAAACAGTTTACTGTTATTGAATTTAAGAAATTCTTTTCTTTAGTTTAACATAACGCAAAACACCAATTTTCTTAATTCTAGCAGCTTACGACATCCCCGATCAGGCTGAAATTTTTACCACAGATACATGAAAGTATTCTCCAGAGATAAAATCAGCTGTTTTTGATGTTCCTATGCGGATTGATAGGGTTCTGAAAGTCAACATTTTCAGTTTTGGCTCCTCGAACCTTTACGTATTTCTCTTATAAGCAAACCAGATCTTCGAAAATGTTCAAAAATAGGTCTAAGAAGTATTTCAAAAACAATTTTCACACAAATCAGATAAAGTTTGATGGGAATCGTCTTGTACCTGTGGAAAACCAAGATTTTCTCGAACATGTATCTCCTTATTCCAGGTACTCTAATTGTGATAAAAACTTTAATATGATTCTTTGCACTCTCTTCGAGAATGAGAAATGGTCAAAAAAAAGAGGGTGAGATGCCCTTAAGTCATAAATTATTAATACGATTTTTGCGCCACTCACTGTCATCGACTGATAACGATTAGCATTAGAAAATAAATTATCATCTATATCAATTGGAAAAATATTCAATAAAAGATAACTATTATTCGAATCTAGGACTTTTGCATATAATGCCCAAGGATAAATGATAGATGTATTAGTTTCTTCCTTTAATTATAATTGTAAATATGTATTTAGGGATTGATAATCTTTTATTGATTTTTTTTTTGACTATTCAATAAGATCAAATATATTTTATTAACTGGAAAAATCTAAATATCATATTTGTTATTGAATATTTTACTGCTATTTGAATAATATATTTTCACATTTTTTTTTTAAATATATGCAAATAATTCATAAGCTTTTTAATAGTATTCTTTCGATTACTGATCGACTGCACAGCCAAGAACAATTTATGAGTGCTTTAGGGTATTTGTCTTATTAGTGGGAGATATTGATATGATCTTTAGTAATAATGTTTGTTTTTACTATTTTTCTAATCGAATCCTGATTGAGAAAATAAAAAAATATTTGGTGTAATTTTGTCAAACTATGGAACAGAAAATATTTCTAACTTCCTTCTATTTTTCGTATAGACCTTGAGTTAATTGTAGATAAATACATATCTGGAAATCATTTTACTTGATTATTTATTCTTTTAATCATATAAAAACAAAAAAAGTTTTTAAATAGAACAAACTCTATGGATTTTAATAATTGTATTCAAATGTTGATCCATTAAATCTATAATCCTTCATATAGTTAAAAAGTGATAAAATCCATTAGTCAAATAGATGTGAACGTGTAAAAAACAAACTGAATATTTTATTACACTAACAATTATCGATGTTCGTTTATATTATTTACTAATATTGTAGAAAAATATATTTCGATTTGAACTTTGTGTTTTTAAAATAAGAATAACAACAAGATTAAATGTTATTTTGATTTCATCGACAAGAAAATGTTACAACAATATTGATTTTCTAATTTGACAATCTAAAGAAAAAACAAAACAATTTCTTTTCTTTTCATGCATAATAGAAGATTATCTGTCATAATGATGATATAATCTGTATAAAAATAGAGACAAGTAGGAGGGTGATCGATAGTTGTCTTCTTAGTCAAAGTAGAAACTACCCATGTCATATTGACAAAAAACAAATTGAAATATTGATTTATTTGAATACCTGTGCATCACGCCATTCTATCTTTTTTCTTTTTGTTATTTGATTGGAATTATGTGTTTTTGTCCTTTCGTACTCTTTGTCCGTCTATATTTCTTTTACTTCATCGATCTTTTCCGCTTATGCTTGAATAAAGACTAACATAGATAAGAAGTATTCATTCTTTAATGCGACAATGGTGGCATGCCATGTTTTTTTTGTTTCGATAAAGACCGAGTTATATTGATCATTATATTCGGATTCCATCTATCTTCTTTGTTTCTTTTTTTTGTTGTTTATGTTCTTTCTTTCAATCCTCTTTGCCTTCCTACGCCTTGTTCTTTTCTTTCTCGGTTTTTTTTTATTGTTATCTAAATTAATACCTCGGGGTACTCGCACTATATACATTTTTTTTTGCTATTGATGTCGTTGCTTGTTCTTATTCGTCGTCTTTTCTTGGTTGTTTTTACTTAGAATTTAGTACATATGCCTTTATTTGAAGAAAAAGAACGAAGAAAAGAAAAGAAAAACCAATACTAACGCGACCTTGTCATAGATTTCGTTTCATTTTTATACAATTATTGTCATAAATATTATTTGAAATCATTCTTTTATATATATATATATATATAACAGTTCAAGGTTGTCTGTTTTATTGGTGAATATAAATATTAATCAGTAAATTTATTTTCTATATTTAGAATGAAAAATAGCTTTCGAAAATCATTTAGTTATCGTCTTCGAAAGAAAACTCATAGTGATGATCATGTTTATCCACGAATTGATACAAATAATTGTTCAAATTCAAAATTAAATTTAGTTAAACCCGTCAAATCAAAAAGTTTTTTACAACTACGACGACGACGTCGTTCTTCATCATCATCATTACCACCACCACTGTCATCATCATTAGATCAAATTAAATCAACAGTATTTGAACCTCGTTATGATATTCATGATGATCCAATTTCATCATCAATAAATTCTCATTCACATCCATTTGATCGTTTAACTTATCAAATACGTAAATCATTTCGAAATACATTAAGACGACAACGTTCAAGGCTTGGAAGTATTAATTCAAATAAACAATTAATATTAAATAAAAATGATGAAAATCCACTAATTTATCCAATAATATCTACAGGTCTTACATCACCATTAACAATAAAAATTGATAATAATAATAATAATAAAAAACAACGCAAAGCACCATTAGCACCTACACATATGAATCAATCGTACGAAAAAAATTTTCTTTTATTTTTTTCCTTAGGAACTAAATCATTTGTTTTCTATCTATTAAGAATATCTTTACCAATTGAAATGAATGTCGAAAAACAGCAACAACAATCCGGTTCTATATCATCCAATGATCAACAATTAGATGATAATAATAATAAACAAAATTTAAAAAAGACAAATTTTAATCGATTTTTTCGAATAAATTTTTCATTTTTACCAAAAACACAACAACAACAAGATGAAAATCATAATGAAAAATTAACATTACGTCAACGATTTGATTCACTAAGACGTTCATTTCATATTTTATCTAACAAACATAATGGTCATCTACTTTCAAATGAATAAATTATTCAATTAGATTTACTATATACAAAAAGAAAAAAAAACTCAATTTGTCGTATGCAACGTGCATATTTCTTCTTTTTTTTTTATGTATGTTTCTGTTTCGATATATGATTATGTATTCATATTAAAATATCTTGAATGAAAATCTTCGTATTTTTGTGGTTTGATCTTCAACACAACAAAAAAAAAAGAATTTTGACTTATCTTTTTGTAAGAAAAAAACAACATTCTACATCATCTTACGTACTCTATTACATTTACCTGGATCATATGACAATAAAAAACATACTCATTAAAATTACTATTTGGTTAAAGTCTAATGCGTAGAAGAAAAAAAAGAAAAGATAAGCGATAAGTTTTATGGAATTTTTCGTTGTGTATATTTTTGTCATCAGATAAAATTTCGATTACAAATAATTATTTAATTACAATCTGTAGTTTTTTTAACAAGTATTGTTGAATTAAATCGATTATTTTAAATGTAAGCAATTTCTATTTTGTTATATTATATAATTATAATTGAACATTGACATTTATCTATTAAATGATGAAAAGTTCAAGGTTCCTATCACATTTCTTTTAAAAATATTAAATGAATAATAATCGACGAATTATTGCCTTGATCTTTTTTTTCATAAAAAGAAACAAGAATATCATTATTGAATAATATGTTCTTTTCATATGATTATTCATGATAAAGGATTTTCTCATCGGTGAAAAAGAAATTTTTTTTTTAGTGTGCTTGAAATATAAATACTTAAAAAATATACTCAAGCAGACTTATTAATAATCAAGTTGCTCAAGTATTTAGTTTAGATTGAAATAATATACTCGCATTATTTCCTCAAAAACATAATTCGAGAACAATAAAAATCTCATCCTAAATTTCAACATACTTATTATCAATAGAAAGTACTACTTGAATAAATCATATGATTGAAATTGTGAAGGTGATTATCAAAAAATTAATTGTCTCTACGATTTAATTCAATAAAAAAAAGAAGAAAAAGAATGGACAAACACAGATATCATTGTCTTGTATTGCATAGCTTCACAACCTTTGTCTATCTCGCAATGCACTTGATTTCGAGCAAACAATATGAATTTAATCAAAGATAAAGAATTTGGTTTATCTCATCGTAAACTACGAGTCACGAGTCCATCGATATTATATCAAATATTCATCAAAGAAAAACTAAATATATTACTAATTATAACAAAATGATGAATCAGGATTTCAGTCAAACCATCAATGATAATGTTTAAATGATTTTAAAAAAAGCACTTTATTAAGAACGAGTGCGTACTCGTACTTGCCGATCTCTGCTTTACAAAGAGAATTTCAATTTTCATGTGATTGTTTGTCTACTGAAAAACTTTTTTTTGTTTCTAAGATAAGAATTATGAGGCCATCGAGTATACGATACACTCGGTAGAAAAAAATTCTTTTATGCACTCAATGAATTGATGTCTGAAACGAAAAACTCCAAAATTTTAGCGTCCAATGCCTTTTCTTTCAAACCGTAGTCGATACCAACCTTTTATCATTATCAAATACTTATGAAAAAACAAACCAGCAAAAAATATCCTGTAAAAATTGTAATTGTTTTTATTTCATAAATCATATTTCGAGATAGAGAATTAAAAACTGAATAAAATGAGATATTCCGACATAATACAGTGTTGAGACCGACTCAATTTTTATACGACCAACATGAATGTCAAAAGATTCGATAGGGTCAAGATGTCTATTTGATAACAATCTATTACCTGTTGGAATTCAGAATCAGAGACTCGGTATTATTCAACTTTTCATCCCCTACAAACTAGTAAAAAAAAACATTCAAAAATAAATAATATCTTCGAAGCGAGACGAGATTCACATCTCTCTTTATTACATAACAATTTTTCAATAGAAAAAATTTTTAGCAATCTTCATTGTCATGACTAGAGTTCAAGAGTCGATCAAAATTTTGGATTCGAATCTGATTGATTAATCTTTTGTGGGAAGAGGTCATCGGATTCAAAAACTTCTGAATCCAGACCCGGACTCGATGTGACTCTAGTCATAACACAATTGTAAAGCAACATTTACCGAGTATTTTTTTTTTCGTATAGATGTGATAATGATATAAAGTCGATATTGACTAATTTTCGAAAGAAAAAGTATTGGATACTAAAATTTTGACATTGGAGATTTCAGACATCGATGCATTGAATGCGCATAAGAAAAAATTTTATCAAGTATCTCGTATTCTCGATAGTCTCATATGATTTCTATCTTAATTTTCTAAGAATGTTAAGAAAAACATATAAAAATAAACTCGATAGAATTTTTATCTCTGAAATGTCATCTTTGATATCCTGAAAGAATGTGATAGAATAATGTTTGGATTGATATATTCTGTATAAGATCTATTCTATATTGTTATTATATGAGAGAAATGTCAGTCATATATTCGTTGAACAAAATCTAATTGAATTGTATGTTGCTTCAATGGATTTCTATCTAATTGAGACATTAAATATGTATCATCATATGTCCCACCCCCACTTCGTCTTGAATAAATTGAATCTGAGAGATTGAACATATGTATTGATTGCAAATCGAAAATGATTTACTTATCGATAGACAATCATTTAATTATGATGATTATCAATGTCTGTAAGACTTAATCATCTATATCTATTTACAGTTCAGATGATTACATTTTTTTTTCTTTTTGAGACTTCCTTATATCTCTTTTTCTTATGTCATGTCGAGTAAATTCATCTTTTTTTTTATCCATTGATATAGATGTAAAAAAAAATAACAATGAAATCTAACTGAGTATATGCGCGCATCATCGTTACTTTTTGATTTAATGCTTAATGGAAACGAGAAAAAAAAAAAGAAATGTATTATTGACTACGGAAGACAAGCAGTTCGCATCAATGAGTAAAATGACTGACGCCGGATGCATATTACAAATGAAAGTGTGTTGTCTTATCTCTATCACATTAACACTAAGATTATAGTTAGACAACCATCACTTGTACATTCATAATAACGCAAGACATAGTGTGCAAAATGAAGATATATTGACATACATGTCATTTTTATTGAGACATCAAAAAAACAAATGTGTAGCGTAGAGGTAAATATTTAGTATGTCATGTTGTCTGATTGATTGATAAAATGAAATAATAGTTCATATATGTACAATTTATCTTTCGCTTGCTTGCTGCATTGACCAACTGTTATTATTAACTTGTTCATGGTAGGTATAGTTTCACAAAAAAAATGAGTAGTTATTCTTTTTTTTTTTTCTTGATGCTCATAGAAAAATGAAGATAAATAACAGACTATTATTCTCACTATACTATGATAAAAAGAGAAATAGACAAAGAAACCTTTTCGATTTAATAAATATATATATATGTAATCATACGGCATGATTTCTTCATTATTATTAGATTTGTCTATCTTTTTATCTGATCTGAACGAGAGAGAAAGAATAACGTCGTAATACATACATCATTCAGAAACAAGCATTTTTCAAACACACAGTTGGAGGTCTTCTTTTTTTTTTCCTTCTTCTTTGAATGAGAATTATTCGATGTACATTTATATCTGACCTATTTTAATTGTTCAAATAATGATAAACACAACATTAGTAAGTAGATAGACTGACCACATCAGCTTAGAGTGAAGAGTCATCGGCATATGGCCTTCAATTTCAATTATCATCATTTTCTTTCTTTACTCTAGTCAATGTAAATCATATACTTGATTAATTCGAGAGTCATATATAGCAAAAACGAAGCAAAATCGATTCGATTGTTTATTTGACTGTATGTATACTGATTATTATCTTGTATTAAACATTAAAAACAAAAAAGCAGATGCCTTTATTATTATTTTTTGTTTAGTCACAACAGAATAAAAACATGATCAAATATCCCGTTGGATAAAATGTGTATAAATAAAAATCTTCTTCCATTAAAATAAGAAGGAAATTTACGTAAGCAATGAACAATATCTATATTTTATTTAATCAATTATCGGACACAAAGACATCCAATCATTTTTCTTCTGAAACAAAAATCATATAGATTATTTCAAACCATTGACATCTAATCTTTCAACTTATTTCCAATCAATATAAATTCATTGATTTTTCATCTAACGATTAATTATCTTGTGTGTGTAAGTAAACGAAAACCTTTTTTTATTTAGTAAAATAATTCTCTTCTCGATTAAGATCTATTGCAATTGAATTGTATCAGTTGTAAATATTGATAACATACAAAATCAGTCAATGATCATCAATTTCTTCAATTAGCGGTATAAGTTCAAAAGAGACTAATAGACAGAAACAAAACAAAAAATAAACAGACATATTCAAGCTGTTGTTTACATATGAGATGATGATGATGATGACCAAACATAGAGAAAAGAATGTCACGAATTAATTCAATTGATCTCATTTTTTTTTCGAGACATGTCCTAATTCTAAACTTAAGAATTTGTTGAAATTCAAGTAATAGATCAATCTTAGTGTTTTACATGAAGCTAAAATCATCACGCTTTGCTTATTCACAATTTCTAAACAACTTTCTACATTCTAAAATTCGGGATACTAGAAATGACACATATACAGTATAGTCTTTTCCGTAGATAGCAGATAATTTCTGGACCCGGTCAACTCAAAATTTTTAGACTAGGATCCGGATCCGAAAGACTCTAGCATACAGAGAATCGAAAACTAAACTCATACCTTTCCGAGAGTATATTAGATGTTTTATTTGAATTTCCGGACATTCCTTTAGTTTTCTGTTTATCAAGATACAGTAAGTAATAGAGGTATAGGAGATGTAGAAATTGATTTTTTCGAACAAGGTTTGGCAAGTGGCAGCAATATATTTTATAAATAGATATTTAAATTCAAACACTATTGAATGATCAGTTGTATCAATTAATCAATATCTCCTCTACATCCATCAACAGAAAATGATACAAGCTTCCGGAAATTCAAATAAAGCATCATACGTCTCATAAATAATTACAGTAATTGTGGATTTACATCGTATAGAAATCCTATTTGCAAAAGAAATATTGTTTTAATAGCGCCATTCTGAGTTGGATCGGACCGAGTGGGTACTATAAATTGGTCAAGCGAGCTTGGCCGAGCCATTGGTCCGATTTCGAGACTTGATATATACTGGAATCTTTAATCTCAGGAATGAAAAAATGAAGTTTTCTCGACATAAATTTAACACATTCATCACGATGGGATCCCAGTGTGGTCGATCGTCGTGGTCAAATCGCCACCAATGTAACACATTCTTTTTAAAAAATGGTGGAGAAAAACATGACTTATTGAAGATTTGCACCAGCATATGAGTATTTATTGAAATTCAGATCTTTTTGCATGATGTGTTTTCGATAAAAAGTACATCATCTTGTAGAACGTTCTTTTTTCTATCGAATGGTATACATTGAAAAAGAATTCATATGATAATAGAAATCCACATCTTTTTAACACGAAAAAAGAATACTTTCGACGAGAAAATTTTGTTAGAATTCAGAACACGGATTTAAGAAGCTGATTTTTACAGAGGATAGACAATGAACTAGTGATTACTCAATAATGAAATCAGAAAGTTGTTAATACGTAGGGGGAAGTATGATCCATTGATGGACTACACCATTCACCTATTGAATCGGTTGGTGTTCAATGTGTTAAGAATTCTTGTATCTATCTCATGATTTAAGGATTTTTGGAACCATCGAATTCTATTCGTGAGTTAAGTTTTGAACACATAGAATCCTGCAGTACAACTGAATTTTTATGATGATAGAATTTTTTTAATGTTCTAGAATATATATATTAATAATGTTATAATCATGCGATTATGTCTTGTTTTTTGGTTATATTTAATAGTTAATATATCTATAATTGAAAGTCAATATATTCGTTTATCAACAGTTAATTGTAGTGAATTATCACCAATAGGTACATCTATAATACAATTATTAGATATATTACCATTATCAAATTGGGAATTTACATTTTTAACTCAAACATTAATAGAATCTTATTTTCTATTAGATAATCTTAAAGGTACAATTATAATTAAAAATTTTCTTGATCGTGAAAATTTATGTCGTTTAAATTTATGTTCATGTTTAAATCAATGTTTAATTAAACTTGATATACATGCAATAAGTGATAAATATACATATATATTATCATTACCAATATTAATTTATGATGAAAATGATAATTATTGTTATTTTTTAAATGATATTTATTATTTAAATATAAGTGAAAATATACAATTAAATACACATATTATATTACCAATAGGTTATGATCCTGATTTAACACCAAATAATATTCAATATTATTATTTATTAGAAAATAATTATACAGAATTTTATTTTAATAATCAATTACCACCATCAATTATTATTATTAAACAATTAGATCGTGAATTAAATGATAAATATTATTTTAATTATTGTGCTTATGAAGAACAATATTCATGTTGTATGAAAATTATTTTAACAATAATTGATATTAATGATAATTCAGCAATATTTCAATATGATCAACAATTACCATTAATAATAAATATATCTGAATTTACATCAATTAATACAGAACTTATTCAAATGAAAGCTTTTGATTTAGATGATGGTCTTAATGGACAAATTATTTATACATTTTCAAAATGGACATTAAATGATAAAACAATTAATGAAATATTTAATTTAAATTCTCAAAATGGTTCAATTATACTTTTAAAACAATTAGATTATGAACAACGAAATAATTATGAATTACAAATACAAGCTATTGATCTTGGTCTTAATGCTACTCCAACATATGCAACAGTTATTATACAGGTACTATTTTAAGATTAAAACTAATTTGTTTTACAAAAAAAATTAACATAATGATTATTTTCAATTAATATATAGTACTGAACAAAAATATAAGAACAACATATTTCTTTATTCTTTTTTTTTATAATAACAAGCATCTAACTCAAATCTAAATAGTGATTCAGATAGCCAATGAAGAGCTCTATCAAATGCATTCTATATCAAAATTTCATAGATGATTTAAAGGAACAAGGTTTCTAGAAAATCAAAATCCGTATTTTTCAAGTTCTAGAAGACTTCACAATAATTCGTTTCTAACAGTATCATCTTAAAGAATACAAAATTGTGAAAAAAATGAAGGGTTGCCGCGTTTTCTACGATCTTCTCTTCAAAAGTTATCAGCTTCATAAAAATTGACTAAAAATCGCGTTTTCTCGGTTTTTGTGATACTTATAACTTTTGAAGAGAAGATCGTAAAAAACACGGCGACTCTTCATTTTGTTCGCAATTTTGTACTCTTTAAGATAGTACTATTAGAAAAGAATTATTGTGAATTCATCCGGAACTTGAAAAATACGGGTTTGCCTAGTCAAGACTCCTTAGAAGAATCTCGGAGGAATCCCTGTTGTGAGTCTAGAGTCCATCGGGTCCAAGATTTTTGGACCCGCACTCGGTCGCTTAAATTTTTTGAATCCAAGCACGATGATAAATCAGTTTCGATAATATATTCAAAAAGTCTTTTGTTGCTTTTTTGTTTATTTTCTAAATGTATTCGATTGTTTTTTCTTCATAAAATGAACAAAATTTTGAAAAAATTCACAATACATTCTATGCATCAAAGTTTTCTTCAGAGCTGGATCCGACCCGGGCCCGGAGCTGCTCGGGTCCGGGTCCTATCCGGCGAGCCCTACGTGAGTCCTTAAGGGAGTTAAGAGGGGATTCACGGACTCCCTAATGGATTCTCCAGGGACTTCCCAGGAAATTGATGAGTATTATCAGGATCTCTTCAGAAACCACCATTGGAATTCTCTGAAAAATTTAAATTTATGAAAATTTTACAGGGACTCTCCAGGAAGTTTTAGAGGGATCCTAAGATATGCAACTTCCTCGGGGACTCACGACAGGGATTTCGAATTCTTCAGGAGACTTCCCGGTGATTTCGTTGGGAAGAGTCGACTAGAGATGCCTTTGCAGTATTTTTTTTTTCACATAATAAACCTTGTCTTGATTCTACTGTGCAGCCAGTTTTTTCTTTCTCTCCTCAATTCCGCTCTGCGGAAATTTTTCTATAATTAATCAAAAAACTATCCACAATTAGGATATTGTCATTTCAATTTCTTAAACATGTTTCTAGGTCATTGATGAGAATGATTGTATTCCGGAAATGTTTATCTTTACACCTACTGATGTTCGATTAATTAATAATTCATCAATCTATATTATGGAAAATATTTCAATTAATACAGCTATCTTTTATCTAACTGTTTCTGATTGTGATACAGGTGATAATGGATATGTAACTATTGAATTAATATCTTTAAATTCAATTGTTAAATTAGAAAAAGTAACTAATTCTACATATATTCTCATAACAAATATAAATTTTGATCGTGAACAAAATTCTTCTTATTCATTTTCATTAAATATTTATGATCATGGAAAACCAATTAATTCATTAATAAATACATTTAATTTATATTTAATTGATATAAATGATTGTTTTCCATATTTTGATAATTCAATAAATTATTCATTTATTATTGATGAAAATAATCAAGAAAATTTCATTATTCATACTTTTGAAATATTTGATAATGATGAAAATGATCAAATAATTCTTTATATTAAATTTATAAATGAAGAAGAAAAAGATATTTTTCAAATAAATAAACAAAATCAATTAATTATTAAAAAAAGTCTTGATTATGAATATAAATCATTTTATAATTTAACAATTATTGCTCAAGATTTAATTGAACATCAAACATCAATATTAATAAATATTTATCTCAATGATTTAAATGATAATCCAGTTAAATTTCATAGAAATTTTCTTCAAATACAAATTCAAGAAAATCAATTAACTAAAACATTTCTTAGTCAAATTCAAGCTGAAGATAAAGATAAAAATAATCAAATTATTTATTATATTCATCCAAATGATTTAAATTATATTGAAAATTTAATTGAATTAACAACAAATGGAAATTTATATACAAAAATAAAATTTAATCAAAAACAAATAAATAAATTTCAATTTCGAATAATAGCTAATGATTCTTTATATACAGATATTATATTAATTGAAATTCTTATTGATAATAATATTCTATTAAAACCACAATCTCCATATTGTTTTACTTTAAATAATAATAATAATAATGAAAATATTCAAATTGAATTTCAAGCATATAGAAATGTATCATTTTATTTAAGAAATCCATCATCATCAGATCTTATTCTTTTTCCTAATGGAACTTTAATTGTTAAATCAATTTTAAATAAATATTCATTTGATATTTATTTACAAGAGAATAATTATTCTGCTATATTTATAAATTTTATTCTTTTAATACAATTTAAATGTGAAAATTATCATTTTATTCAATTTTATCAAGAAATTATTTTTATTTCTTTAATCATTTTTATTATCTTTATTATTATTATTATTTATTTTTATTTTCAACATAAAATACAAAAAAAATTATTCAAAAAAAAAATCAATATAACACGATCATTTTCATTATCATTAAATGATATATTATTTCTTTCATGTCCATCATCACAAATGACACCGATGACAATAATATCATCTTCAACACATCAACAAACGGACAATTCGTCAACATTATCAACTTATATTAAATTGAGTCATTCATTGAAAGATGAAACTTTTTAATCGTTGTTTTTTTTTCTTTGTTTCATTACAATAACAAATTTTGTTCTTTTTTCAGAAAATTCTTTATATTGTTTTTTTTTGTCGTTGTTAATCGAATTTGATTTTTCTAGGATGAATTATAAGGCGTATGATTAGACAACAGAAGATATTATTTAGTTTAAGTCCAAACTATTTCATGATAATTAGCATTCGAAATTATTTCAACATCTATAAAACTAATAATTAATGTTGACATTTGTCAACTCGGATCAGAGAAATTTATTAGAGAAATAAAAATACTCTTTCAAATTATTCGCTTAATCTAAAAATAGATTGTCCAAGAGACAGAATACTCGTAAGATTGACATGCAATAGAAAACTTCTGGTAAAAGTTATATATTGACTCTATTCAATAGATTAATACTTAATTACATTTTCTTCTCATCCCATCACAATCGTTTAAAACTTAACGATTAAATTACGTAAACTGACGATTTTTTAAAAATTAATTATTACGTAACCCTATTCAACTTTGCGTAAAAAAATTCTCGGTTAATCACAGTAGGAACTGAAACGATTTCTTTATGAATCTATTACTCCCTCAAAAGTCTTTGATGTCAGGCCGAAAATTTTACCATAGCTTCTCTATTACAGTCTCACACATATCCTGAGAATTTCATGTCATTTGAACGTTTCTCAGCTGAGATTGATTTTGAATTTTGATATTATTTTTGTATAATATTTTGTCAAAAAAAAAATATCATATATCCATCGATAGAATTCATACTTACAAAACATAGATAATCACAAATTAAAGAATACTAACGAATGACTAAAGTAAGTAAAAATCTGACGAATATAGTTGATGAGTCATTAAAAATAAACGAAGAAAAGAAACAGAAAAACAACATTTAACAACCATCTGCTGCCTTCTTTCATTACAAAATACACACACACACATATATTCAAATAAATTATGGTTCTTGATACACAAAATCTTATTTTATTAATTGTATTCTTAATTGTTGGTGTTGCTGCTATAATATGTTGTATTTATTGTTGTGCTTGTAAACCTGCATGTATCAATACTCGTCGACGATTACTTAATCGACAAATAGAACGAGATCAAGAAGCAATCGAACAAGAACGTCAAGCTGATCAAGCTCAATTACGTGATACATTTGCAGCTAATCAACAAACACGAGATGATATTCGAAATAAATATCAACTTAGATAATTTCATTCAAATAAATGTTTTTTTTTGAAAATAAATATGAAATTGATGATGTTATCAATACAAAGTACAAGGTTGCTTTTTTCTTTTATATTTGAGTATTCTCGTAACCATCAGACAATGTAGGTAAGAGAATACAGAAAAAAGAAAAGCAAATACATTTTAAAGGTTATGTGCATGTTATTTCTTTTAGACAATGAAAAATCTTGTTTCAAGAAATTCTATCAAACTGATTGCATCATTTAGATCAAAAAACTATTTTTTTGTTTGTAATTTTCAATTCATTAAAAATATAAAACCATATTTTAAGTATATATCATTTCTTATCATAAAGATTTTGCATTACTCAGAATAGATGTTACCTTTTAATTTATTAGAAAAATATTTTATCAACGACAAGATAGTTTATTTTGAATGACTAAAGATAAACATTTATTTACAGGTTTTCTCTTTATTTTTTGTAAGGAAAGAAACTACAGTAAAATCGTGTGTTAATTAAACGAAGATTAATATATATATAATATCGGTGATGAAATATTTATAAACATTAATAAATAGTGCGAATAGAATTTTTAATGCTGCAAAAAAATTCATAATTTTTTTTTAATACATTGCACAAAACAAAAAAATAGTTTTGTTTTTCTTCATGCTTTTGAATATATCATTAACTTTGTGTTTTGTAGTAATAATTTTAGATCAAATAACAAAACGAGGTGATTGTTGTTTTAAATTCTTAGGAAAAGTAAGATTTATCGTTGGTGCAGGTTTAATAAAAACTATTGGACGAGATAAATTATTAATAGGTGCACTTTTTTGTCTTTGTATTAGAATATTGTTTTTGGCTGGAAGTCTTTTAGACATTGCTTTAATATTTGTTGTTTGTATTCGTTTAATAGGTGGTAATGAAATGGATAATGATGTAGAACATTCAGATTTTTCTTGTTTTATGTTTTCATAAAGTTTCAATCGTCGTTCAATACGTTTTATTCTTGATTTTTCATCTAATAATTGATGATATGTTTTCGGTTTTGAAAGACGATTAATAGTTTCTTTACTAAATGTTGTAACTTTATTACGTGTATATCGTTGTAAATTAAATGAATTTTGTTGTATAATTTTTGGTTTAATTTTTGCTTCATTGATAAATTTATTTGATGTTGATGCTATTGATTGAGAAGTTCTCGTTTGAATTTTTGTTTGTGAAAGTAAAGTTGATTCAGTAGTTATTGAAGATATTTTTGATGGAATACGATGAATTAATAAATTATTATGATTTGAAGAATATGTTGGTGGTCGATAAAGATATCGATTTTTAATAATATGTTGATGAAAATTTTCTATTGTTCTAATAGATTCTATTGGTTGATTATTTTCATTGATTAATAATAAAATTTTTGGAGTTGTTTTTTGTTGTTCTTGTTGAGGACGAGCAATATCTCGTAATGGATTTTCAATATCAGAAATATTTTTATCAAAATTAGATAAAAGATCTTTATGACATTTTGATAATTCATCAAAACGATTAAGAAGAGTATCGATCGAACGTAATACAGGAATCATATATATATGTATTTAAGTTTATTTGATGAATAAAGAAATATAAAGTGCTTTGTCATCGAATTAAAAAAAAACAACCTTTGATTTTTCGTTTTAAAATGCATCAAGAAAAAAAAATACTCATAAAACCTTGTCATATTTGTACATTTAACTTTAGTTATATAAAGCTTCTTTGTTTGTTTAATCATTTTAAAAGAAAAAGGACGATTTAGAGAATGATGTAAATCGAACATATGAAAGTACAAAAAAAAGATGCCCTCCAGAGATTGATTCTATGGAATGTTGGCGTTTTTCGTACCAAATTTATTGATCAGTATAATGTGCGTGCTATACCGCCGGTTCTTTTGAAAGTTATATATTATATCAAAACGGATGGATGTTTTTGAAATCTGTTAAAACTGATAGAATTTAGTCGATTTCGTTACACTCTAGTATTATTGATCTGCCTGTATTAGTCACAGAGCCGAAATTATCCCCGGTTCTGACATAATTTTTTTAATTATAGAGCGCGCTGCAAAACTTTTTACTAGTAAATTTAATTCTGAAACTGGTTTTTCTCGATGAATTTGTAAGCTTTCTAATAATAAATTCGAATCTGAGTAGAAAACATTTTCTGCAATCATTTATAATTGAAACCAAAAGTCGTACGCCCTACCACCAATAAATCTTCAGTTCTTACGGGTATCGCGATATACCGGCCGTACTGCGAACAAACGTGCGACATGGAAAATATCTAAAAAACAAAAGGGCTAATTTTACAAGTAATGTTCATCGACACTGGGTCCTAGACTGACGGAATGATAACAAACAGATGGTTATCATTTGTGCCAAGCACTTGTTACAAACAGATACAGGTGAATTACGATTTCTAGACTCTAGCCCTTTAGTCTATGAAAAAAAAAGAAATCAAGTCAGTTTTAAGAGGAACATACCACTCCTATTAAACGAAATATCTCCGATGGAAAAATCTTACAGCCAATCGGATGTCGTAAAATTCATACGTATAATTTTACAAGAATCTTACAAATATCTTATTGCAAGATTTAATATATTTCTTACTAAAAGATGCTAGTATATATCTTGTATGATTCCTATTATAGAATTCTTGCAAAATCTAATGGTCGGAATTTTGTAAGACATTACTGAATCATAATTTTATTTTTGTCTTGTGTTAATATTTTTTTTATAAGGATATTAAATACGTTCTTATTATAGATCGTCTATATTCAATAGAATCAAAATTTATATTAATTTACTTATCTAGATTTATATTGACGTGAACAATATATTAGTAATGATTTCTCTTTTTTGTATATCACTGGAACGAAATAGACTTTTATTTCTTTTATTAAATGTTTGGAAGAAAAGAACAATCAAGGACTACAATGGAAGAAAAAAAAAACAAACAACAATAACAAGAAAAAACAAAACAAATCCACCGTCGAGTAAACATTTCTATATTGGTCAAAGACAAACCAAGATATAATAATGACACAACTTTCTTCTCTTTGATTTCTTTAGATAAAAACGAATAGCAATAAAAAAAAAAACAAAACAAAACAAAAAAGGAAAAACGATTGTCCTTTTTTTGTATTCGCATATATTTATTCTTCATTTTCACTTGATACTGCACCTGAACCAGATGTTCCATTGGTTTGATTTGTTTGTCGAGATTTTCGTTCACGTACATTTTTTTTTGGTGAACGATCTATTATAAAATGAAATTTCATTTTAAATATTCTCTTTTTTTTATTTATATTAAAAATAAATTTACTTTGAATAAGATGATGTTTTGGAATCCAATCGACATCATAATTACCTTTGGTTTGTTGACTACCAAGATTTTGTGACATTAATTTACTACCAACTCGTTTAACACGATTTGAAAGTAAATAGTGATAAGCTAAAAATCCTGAAAGAGCTAAGATTGCAACAAGAAAAACATAGAGAAAAAATCTAGAAAAATACAACAAAAAAATATTCATTTGAATCAAAAAATAAGATTAAATATCTTACGTTTCTCCATCAAATCCTTCATCAGCATCAATAAAATTAATTGTTTGATTAAAAACAACATTTTGAAATCGTTTTCCTTCCTAAATAATTAGAAAAAATATATCAAACAAAAAAAAAAAAACAAGAAATAATAAATTTTCATACATTATTTCGATAATTCATTAAAATAACTAAACCCATTGGTCGTCCATTAAATGTTTCACTTGGCATAAATAAATATTCAAATGTTGATTCTAAACCAGATTCAACAATTTTTTCTGATCGTAATGCTGTAAAATTTTGTATATAATAAGTATAATCTTGTGGATAACGTAATGAACCATCAATTGATTCAACAATAAAATTTTGTGTACCATTATTACGTGCACCAACAAGTACACGTGTTAATTTACCAGCAATTAATTCTTCAAAAGAAAAATATATTCATTTTTTTTATACTTCTACAATTGTATTATCGATATTAGAATTATTCTGTACACCTACACCCTGCTAAAAAAAGGCTGATAGTATCTATAGATGTGAAAATTAGAAAATTTTTCTTAATCACGATATAGTCTACAAAAAAAGTTTACCTTGCAGATCTCTAGTAATATCCAAGTCAGTTATTACTATAAATTCTTTCTAAGTTTAACAGCTTCATTTGATCTCACGAGGGAATCTCTTCCAGTATCAAATTACTTTTGGATCGAGATGATGTTCATTTCATAAGTAAGAGAAAAGTCTAGAATAATTTGCTTTTCCGAACCTTCATTATCGAAAGGACTCTCTTAAATAAGGTGATCTATTCAGATTTGGGAAACTAAGTATACCGAGTTGTAGTGCAAGTCGAGACGCGTCGAATGATATATAGCAAATCTGATTTTTAGAGAAATAGAGTCAATTTACCGGTAGACGACTATGCATCTAAAGTATAATCATTTTGATCCTTGGTAATCAGTCGCAAGTGTTTGTAAAAAGTTTTTCTTATATATTCCAAAATTGCCTTATATTGAAAAATCTTAACCAATTTTTACATTAATTTTCGTCTTTTAATACTGTATTTTGATTATGAAAAGTCGATTCTGCTGCAAAATAAACATGATATTTGGAATCAGTATCAAAAAGCTTATATATTAACTAAATATTTTTTTTTCACAAAAATTCGACCTGTACTCCCCCTCAGGCATTTTTTTCTGAATTTTGTCTTGTGGTCTTCCGAGGGTGGTTATAAGCTATTCGATGCAGTTTTTTATACTGATTTCGAATATGATGTTTATTTTGCAGCAGAATCGACTTTTCATAGTCAAAATAAAGTATTAAAAGATGAAAATTAATGTAATAATTGATTAAGATTTCTCAATACAAGGCAATTTTGAAAAATTTCCAAATAGTATGTTTTATAGTGCTGCATCCTGGGGGAATTTCTGAGAAAGTTTGGTGTCTAGTCAACACGGAACCCATTATTAGTAAAAAAACGGTGGTAAACTATGGAAAAATTACATTTTTCTCTATCGAAAATAGAATAATTAGAGATGTTAAGTATATGAGCTTGCAGTCCATCAAAAACTTTTGACTGATTACCAAGGATCAAAATGATTATACTTTGGATGCATAATCATCCAACAGTAAGTTGACTTTAGTTTTCTGAAAATCAGATTTGCTATATATCATTCGACGCGTCTCGATTTGTACTACAACTCGATATACTGAATTTCTCAATTCTGAATAAGTCACTTTATTCGACAGGGTCATTTTTAATAAACATTTATGATCGTCTGAAGAATCGAGTTTTGACTTCAAACATCTCCTATTCTGAAATATTCCATATTCGAAATTCTTTCATGTATAAAAGCAAATTTTTGAATATCTCTAGAAAGGAAATATCAACTAATCTCATTGAAAGACTTTCTTCGTATTATAACTCTAAATATTATTCATATATAAAATATACCATTAGCTTTAGCTGGTTGAGTAAACATATAAATTGCATGAAAATCAGGTGAAGATGGAATACGATTTGGATCTTCTTCTTCTTTTTCTTCCTAAAATAATAATTTCTCAAAAAAAATAAAATATTTATTTTCAAACTTCATTTCTTACAAGACTATCACTTGTTGTTATTATAGTTTCATCTGGACGTATAGTAACAGATTCATCTTCATCAATTTCTACTTCACTATCAACTTTATCTTCATTACCATAAACAACTATATAAAATAAAATTTGATTTTTTTTTTTTTTTTAATACAAAAATTTTACCTGTCGTAGAAAAATATAGTAAACCAAAAATTGTTATAAGTGAAAATAATCGAATTATGTTCATATTTTAAAATGAAAAAACAAAAAACAAAAAAACGATGTATAATATATGTGACAGACAACAGATGCGATCGAACGAAGCAACATAACCACGCATGCGAAATTTTATTCACCAATAAAAATTTACTCGATGCGTGGCTAAGTTTTATCATATGAAAAAAAATGTAAAAAAAATAATAAAATATCATTCTAAAAGAAATTTCTATTCTAAAGAAAGTTAGTTTTAAATTTTTTTTCACTGACATCTTTTTCGAAAAGAAAATAGCGACAATTTTTTTAATTGGTTATTCAACAATGTTTTAAATCCGAAGAGATAGAAACATCTTCTTTATATCCTAGAAATGAGTCGTACAGCTTCAGCTGGTTTTGATCGTGATATAACTATATTTTCACCAGAAGGTAGACTTTATCAAGTTGGTTAGTATTATCATTTGAATTTTCAAGAAACAATTTTTAATTATCTTCTTTTTTGTAATATAGAATATGCATTCAAAGGTATTAATCAAGGTGGTTTAACAACAGTAGCTATACGTGGTACTGATTGTGTTGTTGCAATTGCTCAAAAAAAGATTCCAGTTAGTATAACAAGATTATTCAGAAAGAAAATTTTAATTCAAAGTTCTAGAGATTCAATAGAGTATAGTTTCACTCGAAGAACCAATGCAACATCAAGCAATAACATTTTGAAT